GTGATGCTTGTATTAGGGGTATGTGATTATTGTATTAGTTCAGATTGATTTTGCATGATTCTGAGTAGGATTAAGGGTTTCTCACCTAAGGCATGAGTACTACTCACCTTTAGGGCAGGTAGACAGGGTAAAATATAAAGGACAGAAAGAGAGTTGCTTTTTGTCAGTTGTCCCTTTCTTGCTGCTTGCTGCCTTTTAAAAAATAATTTTATTGAGAAACAAATATCAATGAGACAGATTCACAACCTATTACTTGCACATTTTCAATAATTAATGCATTGCATATTGTTGTCTTAGTGAGTATTCATTGTACAAGATGCAGACACAATATCCTGTCTCAAACACTATTATAACAAGCCTCTCTATTCATTGAATTAAGAGAATGGAGCTGTATATCTATCCTAACTATTTTGCATATACAGATATAAAGGGGTAGTTCATTTCTAGCCCACTTTTTTGTTAGTTTTGTCATTGCCTTCCCTGCTTTCCTATGGGCTGTTTCTTCTCTCCATTGCCCTCTCTGTCATGCTATGCTTTCTTGGAGCCAGCCAAGTAGGAACTGAAACCTGTGAAAGCCATAGCTAAATAAATCTTTTCTTTCCTTATCTTTGGATGTCCAGTATTTTGCTGCAGCAATGAGAAAAGTAACTTAAACATGTCCATTTGTAAATTGGAAAGCATATTTTTACTTCATAAGAGTTTTGAATAGGTTACATAAAACAGTTTATAGAAGCATATGTCTGACACACACAGGAACACAATAAATAGAAATGCTGTCAACTTCAGATTTCAACTTTATGGAAGTTGGTACCATTTTTGGGCTTTATATTTTGCCTCCTAATCCTAATCCTCAGATTTATTAAAATGCTTAATTTTTTTATTTAGCTGATAATAATGAATTGCCACCCTGTGAAAATCATCCCAAGATACTAGAATGAGCTTGGCTCATTCCTTCTATTTTGTCAGGTATGGCAGTTATAGTTGTATTTGCATTTTTCCTGTAGTTACTTATACTTTGATTAATGACATCATTTTTTTCTTCCATGGTTTGAACACTGATATTATTCTTCCAATTGTTTATTTTTCTTAATGTCTTCAACCCCTGACAATTTATCAGGTAAGAATTTAAAAGAAAGTATTTATGCACCTTAGCTTTAAACTATCCATCGTTTATTTTTTCCAATATATGGCTTGGTTTTCTTAAGCTTCCTGCATAAACCTGTCCCTCACACTCATGTCACCCAGATGAGATTTTATTTTTATTTTTATACTTTATTTTTTTGTGTGTGTGGAACCAGGGATTGAACCCAGGCCCTTGGGCTTGCCCAGGAAGCACTTATTCTACTGAGTTATCTTCCCGACCCCCAGATGGGGGTTTGAGGGACACTAGAATGAAACTAATGTGATGATTTGATTAGATATGGAATTAAAAAGAATGTTTTCTGGTAACTTAGAAACAGTTCATTAATATAAACTATAATATTTAAATGGCAATGGAATACCTATCCCTGACAAAACTAAACCTAAAAAAGGGGATATAAATGAAGGATCCTTTTGTATCTGTATATACAAAATAGGGTAGATATGCAGCTACTTTCTCTTAATTCAATGAGAAGAAAGATTTGTACTAATAGTGCTTGGACAGGATATCATGTCTGCATGTTATACTGTGAAAAACTGCTACAAACACAAAAATATACAATGTATTAATTATTGTAACTGTGTTGCTAACCTGTTTTGAAACTATCTCATTGTTATTTGTTTCTTAATAAAATTAATTTAAAAAACTACATTACTACTAGCAAAGCCAGCCTCTCTCTTTTTTTTTTTTCTTTTTTCTTTTTTGGCAGAACCGGGGATTGAACTCAGGCCCTTGCACTTGCCAGGGAAGTGTTTATTCCACTGAGCATCTCTTGGGCCCCAGAGCCAGCCTCTTTGTTTAATTTTGTCATTAGTACTTGGGGATTTATTTCTTGGTTAGTGAGCATGTACTGTACCTGGTCTTCTACACCCTTTAGTCTAGCACAGTCATATGTTATCCCCACAATCATAATCAATGATATGATGAAAGATTTTCATAGATTTGACTTTTATAGTACAAGATAGATTTTTTAATTTACCATTGGTTATTAATTTAATTTTATTTACTCTATACAATTGAGGACCATATATGGTAATCCCAACATGTGGGAGGCTGAAGTAAGAGGGCTGTTGTGAGTTTGAGACCAGTCTGGGCTACAAAGTGAGTTCAAGACCAGCCTAAACTGCATAACAAGATCCTTTCTCAAAAAAATTGGTTTGTGAAATACTATCTGACAGAACTGTGCCAAATTCTGAATTGTAATTGCAGCCTTTTGAAATTCAAGTGCAATCTATTCATGAATTCTGTTCATCAAGCTTCAGTGAAAACAAGACCTTGCTTTTGAAATGACCATGGTTACACTAGGAATTAACTACTCTTTAGATGGGTCTTCGTGATTGCAAGTCATATGGACTAGGCCTAGCCTTGATGCTTATTGAAGCTTCTTTTCCAGATGAGACTTTTTAACCACTTTTATTTTTAAGCCAAGATTTTCAAACATTGAAAATTTTGTGTTAATCCATACTATATATCTGGTATATAATATATATCATGTAATTTTATATAGTTT